GGTTCAACCACCAAAAAAAACCACTCACTTGACATGCGGCCATGGGCTGGAGCAGCGCTGCCCTGTGGCACTTGGCACCCCTGGGGCCGCTGCTTCTTTTCTTTCTGACCATCTATGTGACCTTGCTAGCCAATGCTGTCTCCTCAGTCAAAGCACTCTGAACTTCCAACTTCACTGTACTTCTGGCTATCCTTTGCAGTTGTGGACAGGTGTCTCGTGATGATGATGGAAGAACATCATTGCAGGGGTCCTATCGCGTGGCTAGAGCTGCCACCCTCCGCGCCACAGGCCTCATCTATGCCTGCGCGGCTCCGCTTCTTATGGAGGGTTTTGTCGCGGCGTGTTGTTGTCGTGAACTGTTGCCAAGGCGTTTGCGACTGTTCTCTGGTCCTTTGAGGGCCTATGGGGAGACACTGGGATCCAGCCGGTGGCAAGCCACATGGTCTTGGACTCAGCAATTCTCCCCAGCCACAGCAGCCAGCTGGTTTGTCAAGCGTTCTGCTAAGGTGTCACTGGGCCTCCGAGCCGACTTGGGATTGCAGGATCGGTGGGAGAAGTTCCTGCAAACTCCTACCGCTTCCCGGCTGCTGTGGAGCACATGCAGCCTTTCTGACATCCTGCAGCTACCACCTCAGGTGTTATGGCTTCTGGCACCCAGCTCGGCAGCAGCGGCGCTGCGGCTCTGCAACCAGCTCGGCTTGCTGATGGCCTGCCTCGTGACGGTGCCAAGGGGCCTGGGAGATAGGATGTTGCTTGAATCCTTAGAACTCATGCCAGTGCAGATTGCCAAGTTTCCTTGTGCAATCAGCTTCCCCATAATCTCGCAAAGCGTATGATCGCTGGAGCGGCTATTCCCAAACTAAATGTGCGAGCTCATTGGGGGCGGGCTGACACTCACACACGCGTGGCTGCGCCACTATGGTGATACTCCAAGGAGGCCACAGGGGCGTGCGGTTGGCAAGCGCATACCGCCCTTGAACTTGCAAGAGTAGGGCATGTCTGGTCAGTGGCACGGCATGCACTCGTTGCCAGCTCTAAGACCGGGAGGTTTACGGCTGTTGAGATACGCTTTGGCAACTGTTGAGTCAGCATAGAAGCAGGTCGGAGTTTCAAACACATGGGTGCTGGCCTTGCTTTGGCTCCTCTTCCTGTCAACGGTGAATGCGCCCCGGCAGCAGTCTCGCGGTTTGTCCTCAGTCTGCTCTTCCATCCCATCTTCCTCTCCCTCCCTCACTCCCTGTCTCTCCCTCCCTCCCTCCCTCCCTCTCCCTCTCTCTCTCTCTCGCTCTCCTTCCCCTCTCTCTCGCAAGTCTTTCATTTGCCATCTCAGTCAGAT